GTGAGTATCTCAGCTAGTTATTGGAGTCTGCATTCTATTTTCAGTACTGCCTAGATCTTTCCTCAGGTTCTTCTTTTCTCAAGTTCCCACTAAATCTTTTGATGCACTTAGAAAAAAACCAGTGGTCAGCTTTGGCTGGATGACTCAGTTGCTTGGAGCATCGTCCCATAAAACAGGAGGTTGCAGGTTCAATTTCCCGTTAGGACACATTCCTAGGTTGCAGGTTCAATCCCTGGTTGGGACGCCTGAGGGAGGCCACAATTTATGTTTCTCTCTCACATTGATGTTTCTCTCTTTCTCCCTTCCTCACTCTCTATAATCAATAAAAAATACTTATCAATAGGTAAGGAGTTTAAAAGAAAGTAAAAAAAAGAAAAGATAAAAAACAGTGGTCCAGAAATCACCTCCTAGAGAAACTCTGAAATTTCCACACATGTTAATTTTGGTTGAAGCAGCATGTCTGGTGGCTAGTTGGTTTGGCTCCATGGATAGAATGTCAGCCTGCGGACTGAAGGGTTTCAGGTTCTATTCTTGTCAAGGGCCATGCCTGGGTTGTGGGCTTGATTCCCAGTAGGGGGCATGCAAGAGGTAGCTGATCATTGATTCTCTTTAATCATTGATGTTTCTATCTATCCTTTTCCCTTCCTCTCTAAAATCAATAAAAATATACTTTAAAAAAACAACAACAAAAAAACCCCTCCGCTGTTATATCTAACCTGGCATTCTTTCTCACTCAGTCCTTTTCACTCAACAATTGTTTACTATTGTGCATACTATTTGCTAGGTGCTATTAGGTGCTGTGATCACAGAGAAGATTATGACCTGGACTTTGCCTTCATGGAACTTTTATGGTCCTTTCCAGCACTGTCACTGCTGTGCCAACACTTTCACTTATAAATAATCCCCTTCCCTTTTCTGTGTTCTTCTAAACTAGAACCTATTTGAGGCTTGTGGGTATTATTAGTAAAACTTCCTTCTTGGCAACTCAAATCCCGATTGTCACAGGCTTTATGACATTTGACTTCTCCCACTTAATTTTTTTTTTAAATCAATCTTTATTGATCATATTATTACAAAGGTTCCTCATTTCTTCCCCCCTCCACCAGGTTCCCACCCCACCCTCCGCCCCTTCCCCATCCCCCATTGTCCTCATCCATGGGTGCACAGTTTATGTTCAGTCTCTTCTTCCCTCCCTTTCCCCGATAGTAAATCCCTTTTCAGATAGTAAATCAGTTACTTAGCATTTTCTCATATCAATAATACCTCCACATGCCCAATGATACACTTCACACAAAAGACATTTCCCAATAGGTCAACTAGCCTCATCCAGGCCCCACCGAAGGCACTCACAGATCAACACCCCAGCCCTATACTAACTCAACACATCCAGATCTAAGCCTTCATCACTTGATTCAGCAGACCCTCAAGTTCCCACGAAAGTTTTCAGCCATGTCTGAGAGGCAGCCGTGGGGCAGGGGCAGGCAAGGAGTGAGCTGTTCCGGGCTTGGCTGCTCAGGGCCCGGCCTCTGTTGCTCTGGTTTGTTCCACAACCAGCTGCTCCGGGTCTGGTCACTGCTGCTCCCGACCTAGTTGCTCTGGACTTGGCTGCTGCTGCTCCAGGCCTGGCCGCTCCCAGCCTGGCAGCCGCTGCTCCGGGCCTGGCCGCACCCGACCCGGCTGCTCCCCCGGGCCTGGCCGCTCCCAGCCTGGCAGCCGCTGCTCCGGGCCTGGCCGCACCCGACCCGGCCCACTTAATTTTTAAAAAAATATATTTTGTTGATTCTTCCCAGAGAGGAAGAGAAAGGGATAGAGAGTTAGAAACATCGATGAGAGAGAATCATCGATCGGCTGCCTCTTGCACGCCTCCCACTGGAGATGTGCCCGCAACCAAGGCACATGCCCTTGACCGGAATCGAACCCGGGACCCTTCAGTCCGCAGACCGACGCTCCACCACTGAGCCAAACCGGTTTCAGCTAATTTTTTTATTTATTTACTTTTTACTTCTCCCATTTTATGATCATCAGTCATAATCATTGGTTTATAGTTTTTATTTAAAAATTAAATTAGGCTCTGGCTGGGTAGCTCAGTTGGTTAGAGCATCATCCCAATATACCAAGGTTGCAGGTTCAGTCCCTGATTCAGGGCACATAAATAAGTGGAACAACAAGTTGATGTTTCTCTCTCTCTTTCTCTCTAAAATCAACAAATTTTTAAAAATTATTTTTAGCCAAAGCCGGTTTGGCTCAGCGGTAGAGCGTCGGTCTGCGGACTGAAGGGTCCCGGGTTCGATTCCGGTCAAGGGCATGTACATTGGTTGCGGGCACATCCCCAGTGGGGGGTGTGCAGGAGGCAGCTGGCCGATGTTTCTCTCTCATCGACATTTCTAGCTCTCTATCCCTCTCCCTTTCTCTCTGTTAAAAATCAATAAAATATATTTTTTAAAAAAAATTATTTTTATATGTAAGTTTAACATGTTGGCTGAAAAAAACTTCAAATATAACATGTATGTACACTAAAAAATAGTCACTTTGTACCCCCTCAGTACCACTTATTACTATTTCTAGACATTTAAATTAATATGCAAACTTTTTAAAAATGTGTTTTTATTGATTTCAGAGAGAGGGAGAGAGATAGAAACATTGATGAAAGAGAAGCATCCATCAGCTCCCTATATGCCTCCTATTGGGGATTGAGCTCACAACCTCAGCATGTTCCCTGACTGGGAATTGAACTGTGACCTACTGGTTCATGAATCGACATTCAACCACTAAGCCACACCAGCCAGACAATATGCAAACATTTTTACACAAATGGGATTTATAGCTCAGTGTTTTCTTTTCTTTTCTTTCTTTCTTTCTTTCTTTTTTTTTTTAAATCAATCTTTATTGTTCATATTATTACAAAGGTTCCTCATTTCTTCCCCCCTCTACCAGGTTCCCACTCCACCCTCCGCCCCCTCCCCACCCCCCATTGTCCTCATCCATAGGTGCACAGTTTATGTTCAGTTTCTTCCTCCCTCCCTTGCCCCGAGAACAGTCAGTCCACTCCCCTCCCATAAATGGACACATTGTTTAAACATAGCTGCTGGTTGGATTTGGATTACCTGTTCTGGGTGGGAAGGGCTTGTCATTCCCTTTAAAATTAAGGTGTTAGCTTTAAAACCTCTTTTTGGCAAGAGACCTTACACTTTCAGAACTTTAAATTTTTCAGATAGTAAATCAGTTACTTAGCAATTTCTCAAATCAATAATACCTCCACATGCCCAAGGATACACTTCACACAAAAGACATTTCCAAATAGATCAACCAACCTCATCCAGACCCCACACAAGGCCCTCACAGATCAACACCCCAGCGCTATACTAATTTAACACATTCAGATCTAAGCCTTCATCACTTGATTGAGCAGACCCTCAAGTTCCCCCAAAAGTTTCCAGCCAGGTCTAAGAGGCAGCCTTGGGGCGGAGGCAGGCAAGGAGCGAGCTGTTCCGGGCCTGGCTGCTCCAGGCCTGGCCTCTGTTGCTCTGGTCTGTTCCACAACCAGCTGCTCTGGGTTTGGCCACTGCCGCTCCCGACCTGGCTGCTCCGGGCGTGGCTGCTGCAGCTCCGGGCCTGGCCGCACCAGACCCAGCTGCTCTGGGCCCGGCTGCTCCGGGCCCGACCGCTCCGGGCCTGGCCGTATAGCTCATTGTTTTCATTTAATAGTATATTTTCCCATATCATTGCATAAAGGTTTACTTCATTCTTTTTAATGGCTATATAGTTTTCCAATCTAGGGATATACCACAAATATTTAACCAGTTTCTTTTTCTTTTTCTTTTTTATTTTATTGATTTTTTTTTTACAGAGAGGAAGGGAGAGGGATAGAGAGTCAGAAAGATCTATGAGAGAAACATTGATCAGCTGCTTCCTGCACACCTCATACTGGGAATGTGCCCGCAACCAATGTACATGCCCTTGATCAGAATCGAACCTGGGACCCTTCAGTCCACAGGTCAATGCTCAATCCACTGAACCATCTGGGTTTCGGCTCACTAGTTTCTTATTGGAGGGTTTTAGATTCATATATATTGATGAAGTAGATGTCCTTTTACATGTATATTTGCTCATTCAAGCAGTATAATGATAAGATAAATTACTAGAAATGAAGTAGTTTGAGGAATTAAAATTTTTGCTGGATAGGATCAATTACCATTTGAAAAATTGTGCCAAATACTCAACAGTGTTTTCTGTTCAAGATTTCTCACCTTCTATACATCATGAATTTTAATCTTTGTTCATTTGATAGATTTAAAAAGCAATATGTTGAGAAAAGCAATATCTCCTTGTTTTAATGTACATTTCTTTAATTATGAGTAAATTTGAGCACGTTTTGATATTTTTATTAGTCATTTACACTTATTTTTCTGTGAATTATGTACATACCATTTGCTTTTAAAAAAAGTTATTTTTTTTTTATTACATATCTGGAAGAGTTTTTTTATGTTAAGGAAGTTAGTTCTTTGTCATTCAGCAAATGTGGGCTACCCATCCCCCACACCCCCAGTTTGTTTGTGAAATATAGACCTTCAGATTGGGTAGTCTAACCTGCTTACTTTCTAAATGAGGAAATTGAGCCCCAAAGTAGGATTAGGGTTAGTGCTTTTTTTGGTGGTGGTGGGGTGAATGTGTAGTTAGATAGTGGCAGAGCTGAAATCAGCATCCAAGTTTTTTTACTTCCATTTTGGTACTTTTTTCATTATAAAATGCTATTTTTAAGGCTTATCCCCTCCCTCTTGCACCATTGCATTTTACCACTAGTTCTTAACAACCAGAAGTTTCATGTAAACTTTTTTACTAGCCTGGTATTAAAATTTGAGAAGCTTTAGGGCTGTATAGGAGCCCAGGAGACTTCATAGGTATTAGCTTGTTTCTAATGTTTATAACTAAACTAGATTCTCTATATGGCAGTTACATTTATGACCTTTTTGTTTGTTTAAAAAAACACTTTTGTTTTATAGGTTCATGGGTGTATGTGTACATCAAGGACAATTGCATGCACTTACAGAGGTAAGACTTCAATAAACATGTTGAAGGTGACTTCTTTGCCTTAGTTTCAGCAATTTATGGTTCCATAGTGATTGTTAAGTAAGCAAAATGTGTATGCATTTACGTTCATGCAGGGTTAACAATGCTTTCTTCTGTTGCCTGGGGACAATGGCCATATCTCTTAACACTCTTGGATATCCTCAGAATACTTGATAAATACTCTGACACTATGAGGGCTCAAATATTAAATTGGTTCTTGTTGCCTGCAACAAATTCCCAAACTACCCAGAAATGTTTGGTGTCCTGATACCACTGTCACTGCTGTAGTTTCCTGGTTGGTCATATTACTCCTTGGAATCAGTTTACACCTCCATTCTCATTTCATTTTCTGACTCTTTAAAGCAGATAAATGTGTAATAGTGATTACGGAGCCTCTGAGGACCAGAGAATCCTCTCTAGAGCAGAGGCTTCCCAATTCAGGCACTGAGTTATCAGCTTCAGAATTTGCTTGGGTGCTTCTTAGAAACACAGATTTCTAGAATCTTCTAGGTTTAATAGGTCTGCCTAAGGCCCATAGGTATTAAACACTCCCCAGATTATTATAATGAGCAACTAGATTTTAGAATCTGGTCTAGAATATTTTCACATTCCTCTTGAGAAGTAAGTACTAAAATACAAAGTGAAGAAACTTAGGAAAGAAAATAGTTTTACAGAATTTGCAAGGGTATCCTGTTGGCTTGGTGCCTGGTATTAGTCTTATGAAGGAAGGTCCCATGTGCCTCTCTCTGTGTCTCTTTTCTTACTGAGGGCACCAGAATGTGGAATGTGTGTAGCTATGTGCTACCTTTTATATAGAAGGCTGAAAAGGTGGAAAAGTGAGGTGGTTAAGAGCATGGGCTCTGGCCTGGCCCACATGGCTCAGTGGTTAAACATTGACCTATGAACCAGTAGGTCATGGTTCTATTCCTGGTTAGGGAACATGCTTGGGTTGTGGACTCGATCCCCAGTATGGGGTGTGCAGGAGGCAGCTGGTCAGTGATTCTCTTTTATCACTGATATTTCTCTCTCTCTCTCCCTCTCTCTTCTACTCTGAAGTCAATAGAGATATATATTTAAAAAAAAAAAAAAAGAGCATGGAATCTGAAGTCTTTGATTATCTAGGTTTGAATCTCACTGTGCCTCAATGTTTTCATCTGGAAATAATAATAATAATACCTGCCTCAGGGAGTCTGGATAGAGAAGAGGACCAATACCTAAGCCCTAGAGTATTTCAGTGTCAAAAGTCTGGGAAAAGGGCAGTTTTAGGTGTGACTAGTGAGGTAGGAAGAAAATCTGGAATGGGAAGGAAGAAGGAGTTTCAAGGAAAATAGAATATTAATTGTGGCAAATGCTGCTGCTGATGATCTCACAGGGATGTTGTGAGGAAGAAATGTAAAACATTTATTTAGCACAGTGCCTGGCATATAGTAATTGCTAAATGCATTTTAACTATTAGAGCTTTTATTAATAACAGTGACTAGTGCCTCTTGAACTCCTCGAAATGTCAGTATTTTTCATTTGATCTTAGATCCATGCTGTCTTAAGTTTTTTAAATCTTTTATTGAAATAAAGCATAACAGATAAAACACACATATGAAAAGTGTACAGCTTACTAAATTGTTATAAATGAACACACCCATAACCAGCATCCCAGATCAAGAAACATTTTCTGTGTATTTCTTTCCTCAGAAGTGAGTCTATAAATTCTTCAAAGACAATCCTCTCCTTTCAAGCCTTCTATCTGCCAGAGTTCTGACACTAATAATTGTAAAAGTATTTATTATTCCCTGCTTATATCATTGTTCTCTGTAATGTGAGTTCATTGAAAGGAATTGTATATTGGTTTTGCTGACATGCTTTAATATTTGTGATCATGTTGCAAATTTAGAAGTGGACTCTAATGGGAATGGTAGAAATTAATGACTTTAATACAATATTCTCTTGGCCATGTTGCATTTAAATGTTTTCTGTTGTTTTTTAGTTTGTTTATAGCCATACATAACATTGCAATGGGTATTTTGTGAAAGAGTGTGTTTTTCTAGTATCATTAATGAGATACTGACATAGCTTATGATATTAATACTTTTTATTATGATATTAATAGACTAATGGTCATAAAGTCCAAATATCCAAAAGGTCTTGGATATTTTTGGGAGGGGATCAACAAAAGTCATCATGGCATGGGTCTCTGGACTCTTACATTAAATTGCCTTATAATTTTGGCTTGGCAGCACAGCTCTTGGTTTCACTAAAATCTTAAAAATAAATTACTAATAACATCTAGCACAGCTCTTGGAACTTGGATGACATTTAGTAAATATTTCCTGATTGGTACTATGTCTGCTCTCCACAGTAATGTATCATTCCTTATTTCTCTTGGAATAGTTTGTCAATAATTATAGTAGACAAGTATAGCTTTTATTAATGTCTGTGAAGTGATATTAGGAAGAATATTTCTTACATTCAGTAGTGATCTGGACTCTTCTGGGCTTGAATCATTTCCACAAATCTTTTTAAAATATGTTTTTTAAATTGATTCTAGAGAGAGAGAGAGGAAATAAGAGAAAGACTTCGATAGAGAAACACCTATGGTTACTTCCTGTACACTAATTGAATTATGAATTCATGCTCTAGCTGGTTTGCTCAGTGGATAATGCATCTGCCCGCAGATTGAAGGGTTGTGGGTTCAATTCCCATCACCGGCACATACCTTGGTTGCAGGCTCTGGTTGGGGAGTGTGTGGGAGGCAACTAATTGATGTGTCTCTCTCACATTGATGTTTCTCTCTGTGTGTTCCCCCCTTTCTTCTACTTTCTCTAAAAATCAATGGAAAAATATCCTTGGGTGAAGATTAATAAAAGGGTGCTGAGAAAATTGATTACCCATATAAAAAAAAAGAAAAGAATTCATATTGTGTTGAGTAGGAATGCTCCTTAAGTATGTCTTTAACTCAGAAGAACTTGTCTTTCGCCCATATCAAGGAAGTGCAAGTCTTTGGTTTTTATTTTTAAAAATTATTTTGTTTATTATGATTTAACCACTACCTCAAACCTATTTTATTTATTTATTTATTTATTTTTTTTTTTTTGAGAGAAAGCAAAATGCCAATTTGTTGTTCCAGTTATTTATGCATTTATTGGTTGCTTCTTGGGTGTGCCCTGACCAAAGATTGAACCTGCAACCTTGGCATATTGGGATGACACTCTAACCAACTTAGCTACCCAGCCATGGCTGAAATCTTTGTTTTTTAAAGACAGAAAATATAACCCTGTATATCAATTAGTTATTGCTATATAATATCCAACCACAAAACTCAAAAGCATACAGCAATAAACTTTTATTTCTCATAAGTCTGCAGGATTTAGCTGAGTTGAGCTGGGCCCACATGGGCAATCTGCTTGTCTCACTTGGATTCACTCATGTATCAGTGGGTCCGTGGTGATCTGCTCTAGGCTGACTTTTACTGGGGCAACTTTGCTCCAGCTGTTTCTCATATTTCCTTCTAGGTCTAGTAGGCTAGCCTGGCTATGTCATTTTAAGAGGAAACCAGAATAGCAAAAGTATGTCAGCCCTATTTGCACAAGTGCTTTTCATGATTCTGCTCATGTTCAAATTTGCTTGGCCAACATCCCATTAGACAAAGCAAGTCACATGCCTGAGTCCACATTGGGGGCAAAATTACATGTCAAAGGGCATGGATTTAGTAAGGAGTGAAGAATTGGAATAATTGTTGCAAACTTACATACCCTATAAATATCCCAATTATTAAATCATAATTGTTTGTCCTTTCTACCTTACTTTCTCTTTTTAAAATAAACTTTCTTTTTTAAAAAACCCCCACATAACTACCAGTTATTAAACATCACTGTAGTTACGTGCTTTTGTATATTAGCATAAGTATCAAAATTCTGTAGTCCAATTTCCTCCATTTTATAGGTGAGCAAACTAAGTCTTAGAGAAATTAAGTAAGTTCCCCTAAGTAGAATTTGTATCCAGGTTCACCTGACTTCAAAAGCTATACTCTTTCCATTGCAACCTGCTGTCCTTCATTCATTTATGTATCCCCACATCACTGAGTGAGCACGGGCTCTTGTATGTGTAGAATGTGTATGAGTTTTACTAATTTGATATACATGTTGGGTAATTTGGAAAAGATATTCCCTGGCTATTGGGTATATTATAATGTATTTGAGTGCAAGTAACAAAAAATAGTTAAATGGACATAAAAAAGAAGGCTCATATAACTGGAATTCCAGCAGCTTATTAGGTTAAGGGTTCGTTTGATTTCAGCAGTTAAGAGACGCTATCCAAAGACGCCACTTCTTTCTGTCTCTGCTCCATCTTTACATTGTCAGCTTCATCCTAAAGTTGACTGTCATTCATAATTTAAAAAAAGTAGCTGCCACCAATTTACATGTTATAATTTTTCCCTTCCATATACAAGTCGGAGGGTGCAGGTCAAAGAAAGAAAGAAGAGAAAGGTACTTCTGGGCAGATTATGTGTCATTTCATAATGCTATTCTTTTTTAATCTTAAAGACACGGAGAGGGAAATATCTTTGTAATCAGTTTGTGAAACCTCTTTGTGCAGAACCTCTCAGTGCCTAGGAGACAGGGAATTTGGAGAATGAGTAGGGTATACAGTTGTGGGGTAGGGGTCCCAAGTAACAATACTTGAGTGAAAGGAGTCAGCAAAAATTGCTTGGCAAATAGGATTTTGGAGGTCTCTCTTGCTTTTTCTGCCAGGGAGAAACTATTGTCCCCCCACCCCCCGTGGCACTAAGAACCACTAAGATATAAACACAACAATTGCTTGATCAAGTGAGGTGATATAGTCTCTTTACAGCAATGTCTCCTCAGTCTGGTAGATATTTGGTACAGAAAGAAATGCTTTTAGCTCATGAGGGAATGGATCAGCCCTGCAAGGCGACTTCAGATAATTTAGCCCTCATCCTCTTCTTACTCAGTATTTCCACTCTCTTT